AGATTAAAAATTTGATTCATTGCTCATAACCTTAAAAGTAGCATAAATTCAATCATCAAACAAGGCTTTACGAAATATTTGGGTAAATAAGTAAAGAAAGAACAAAAACACACTTAAACGAGACAATGCAAGTGAAATAAAACTTCATGATGGATGAAATGATCTCTTCATAATTAGGATGCCTCATATTGTTCATCTAATGCAACAACACCTGACTCAAACGGATACTACATATTGTGCTTTGATGCCTCAATCGTGTCCGTCATCCACTGATTCACCAATTCTTGTGTCAATGTCCCATTTTCAACAAACGTCTCTGTCTCCTTTAACAGTAGCCTACAATTCCCTATAGAATGCCCAAATGCCCCCAAGTGGAAATCACAGACACTATCTTGACTGTGGGCAGAAGGGTTTGGTTGCACTTTCACTGGCCTTGGTGTGAGGTATTGACCTTTAATCAAATGGGGGTACATATATGAGATAGAAATTTGGAACACTTTTAGATTATTTTTCGATCGTAAGACTTTCTTTGGTCGGTTGGAGCGACTAACTGTTCTTTTTCTTTTACGGCTATGGGAGCTCTGGACGTGACATTCATTCACCTCATTAGCTTTTTCCTTTTGATCGGTTGGGCTTTTGGAAGTGAATTTCAAGTTTTCTTTGCTGATTGCATTTTCAATTAACTCCCCAGCTGTCACAAGATCCTCGAAGTCATTCATCGAATTTGCCAGCATTAACTCAAAAAAAGGAGTTGGAAGAGAATTATGAAACATATATGATATTTCTTCTTTTAACAAGGGAGGTTGAATTTGTGTTGTCACTCATTTCCATCTTATGGCATATTTTTTAAAACTTTCAATAGCTTTCATCCTTATTCTTTGAAGGTATTGACATTTTGGGGCTAAGCCTTTAACATATCGACATTGCCTCAGAAAAGCATCAGCTAGATTGACCCATCTCTTGATATGCTCTCTGTTCAAACGGTTATACCATACTACAGCTGCCCCAACAAGATTATCATGGAAGTAATGAATCAACAGATTATCATCATTTAAGTACCCTTCCATCTTTCTACAAAAATATATTTAGATGGATTAAGGGACAACTAATGCCATCATATTTCTCAAAATTAGGCAGCCTAAATTCATGTGGGATGACCAAATTAGGGACCAAACTGAGTTCTCTAGTTTCTAACTCCTTGTGAAAGGCATTAACACTTTCCATATCTCTAATGGCTTCATTCAACCACTTGAATTTGTCTTCAGATTGCTCATAACTGATGAGGATTCTCTATAGGTTTGATTGGGACACTCCTGGGTAGGTTATCGTTCTCGACGTATTAGTCTAATGAGACTAGTATCCTTTATCAGCGATTTCCTCTCTATCAGCAGCCTTGGTTGCCAGCACATGGATTATTTGGCTCGATACATGTTACAGAGAACCCAATGCTTGATTCCTCATATCTTGTTGTAACCCAACCAACTGCTCTTACAACTGATATTGTGATTTCTCATGAGATTGCTCCATTATTTCTATTTGTTTGTTCATGACGATGAGAGAGTAGTATGAATGAATGATCTTGGTATTACTTTCACATAACCCTCCATAAGTTATTTCCATGTTTTCATAACTAATGCATGTAAAATGATTAAATAAATACATGCAATGCAAATGCAAATACAAATGCCAAATGTCGAATGTAAATGCAAAAGCTGTTAATTCCATAAGTGACCAACATAAAACATCCTTCATTTAGACAACAAGATTTTATTACACCAGGTAGTCAAAATAAAATTGTGATTATTCATTTATTCATTTCCTTGAGCTGTACTCTTCATGGAATCTAACATTGCACCCAAAGTTATCGGTGTACTTTATCATATTTGATGACACCTGATGTCCTTAAATAGTGTATGGTTGAATCTTGAGATCTCCATTTTTACTTCCAATGAGAAGTGGTCTTCATGTCTTTGTGAAGGGTCTTATCGTCCTTGATATGACTGTATCTATCTCCTGAGAGAACATCTTGGCCTTTACTCCTTTAAAGGAAGTCTTCAATTAGCTTCAGATTTCTTAATCCATCGGATGTCCTTCTTCATGGATCATTTGAACATATTTGGATATCCTGGTTTTGACTACATGGTTAAGAATTTCTTGTCTCATTATGACCAGCCTTATTATTAGTCAATCACTTGTGAATTAACACCTTTGGATGACATGAAGATGCAAATGCAATAAAATCAAAATAAAATAGACATAAAACCAAAATGGGTTAGTACACATAAGATAAACAACAAAATAGTAAGTATCGTAATCATTAACTAAAAGCTACACTCACATGCTAGCTACCCAATTATGCTTTAGTATATTATTATACTCAACATGATTTCTACCTACATGATTTGTTATTCACAAAAAATCCTAACCACATGATATTTAATTCGCTTGTTTATTTGAAAAATAAATCTAACTGCATGATCTCTAGTTCTCCTATATTTATTCGGAAAGTAAAATTCATACTACAAAAATTAAAAGACTCAAAAGAGCTTTTCCTTGTGCACCCTCCTCACGGGATTCTTAAGGTTCGGGTTAAGCTCTAATTAGGCTTGGATTTCTAGGTTCACTATATGCTGGGTTCGACTCTAAAGTAATAGGTTCTCGTATTGTCCTTGCCAGTGCCCCCTTGGGCTGTCGGACCCTCAATCCTGGCCCATCACAGGCTTTTAGGATCGAGTTCAATTCGAGGGAACACACCTCCTTATGTCCGTGCGGAGGTGAATACCATCACGAGGACCATAAGGCGTGAGCTCCAGGAGCGATTCACTATCCCATGCAGAGATGAAAACCACACGAGGGTGTAGTTTCTCACTTCTACTTAAATAGGACAGAGCGGGGTTTTAGCTCATGTTATGATAATGCAAATGTGCAGTGTGTGAGGAAAAGCGAAAAATACACAATCACACAACACTTAAATCAATCCTCAAATTCCTTTTAAAACACACAATTAATATGAAAACATCAACAAACAAGTCAGTACAACTATTTAGTGATTAATCAAATTATAAACAAAATTTTTTTAATACCAAACAAGGGATCAAAAACCAAATTAGAGCGAATTTATAACTTTCATTTGCAAAGACAATTAATTAATCGACTATTGACCTGACTCTATAAAAAATGTCTCCAGCAGAGTCGCCAAACTTTCGAAACGATTTTTTTCTTAGGTTAGATTTTAAAAACCAAACATTTGTTAATTATTCTCTTTCTTGGTTAATTTTCAATTAAAAAGTAATATGATTTAAAAAAATCTCTCATTTCAAAAAAATTTTGGAATTTTCTTTACGATAGAAAAATATATGGTTCGAGGAGCCGCCACCAATCTTTAATTAGGGTGTGATTGGGCACCCAAAAATATTTTTTCATTTTAAATAAAAATTAATTTTAATTAAAACGAAAAATTTATAGTATGCATACAAGAAAATTGAGTTCGGGAGTTGGTTACGCGCAGGGAAGGATTAGCACCCCTACAGTGCCCTAAATCGGTACCTAGTTGATTAATTAATTATCTTTACAATGAATTTTACAAGTTCGAATTTCATTTGATTCATGATCCCATAAAACAATAATTATGAATTTTAAAATGAAATATAATAATATTTAATTATTTCCTATCGAGAGAAACAAACCTCTCATACATTGAGGAAATAAATTCTTACTCCAATCGAAATAAAGAAATATTATAATTCCATTATAATATTCAAATGAACAAAAACATATTAAATTAAAACTACCAATCCTTTTTAGAAAGAAGAAGAATATTCGATTATTTAAAAACATCGAGATCATACCTTATATAAGTTCTAACAATCTTTTTTTGAATAATTTAAATGAACGAATATTTTTTATTCTCTCATTCCCAAATTTTAAGTGAGGAATCATTTTTAGGTTTCACTGTTGGGATACACTTTCAGTTTAAAATCATCTACAATGGCTCTCTAATAAGTTAAGACAATCCCCTCACAACGATTTTAAAATAAAAGGGTATTACCCTTAATCCAATTATTTGATAGGGGTCGAGTTATGCACACGAGGATAACATACAATTGTGCAAAAAATTGTCATACGATTCATCACTAAATCATTCACATACGTGTTCATGTATGAAAACATATCAACAATGCAAAACAAATACAAACCATTAATTAAAGAAGGCAATTATTTGACAAGGGACTAAATTAAAAGGAATAAAAAATTCAAGGATTAAATATAATAGATAAAATAATATAAATTAGGACTAAAATGCTTGAGATCTAAATCTAAAGATTCAATTTAAAGTCAAAGTTCTAGGATCGAATTTAGGAGATGACCACCAACTCAAAATAGGGACTAAACCTAAACTAAGACTTTAAATGTAAAGGAAATAAGAAAATACTCATCCTAAAAGTAAATTTCTAAACTCTAAATAATGTAAAGGAAATAAGAAAATAAATTACCCATGCAACGAAATTTATCATACGACTTTAAATGTGTAAAACGATCGAATCAAAAGAAAATGAACATGAATTTTAGTACTTAACAAATTAAACAAACAAGGAATTAAATAAAAAAAACACAAAACTAATCGAAGATTAAATTCTAATTATTCGCAAGCTCAACTAAAGATTAAATTTAAATAAAACGAAAATTAGACATGCATATCAAGAATTAAGGCAACGATTAAAATGATAAAATGTGCATAAATATGAAAGACTTAAATATAAATAACCTAAAAATTATAACTGAAATCTCAATCTAGAAAATAACAAAATTGGGACAAACAAAGAAAAATCGAATTCAAAATCAATCCCTAGGTGACTAGAATGTAAATAGGCGCTAAACCTAGGAGTACTAAAACCTAATTTTATCCTTGGGCTTCAGTGGCTAAATGAATAATTAACCCAACATTTTAATATATATTCTAATTAAAAGATTAAACCTAATCATAAACTTATTCTAAACCTTCATCCGTTTCTCTCTTCTCCCTTCCTCCATCTTTTGGACGCTTATTCCAAAGGGCCAACAAAACCATGATGACCATGCTCCGATGAAGCTCATACCACCCCTAGCCAGCACACACGATGGTCACAAAGGCTGAGACTAAACCAAACTGAACTTTTTTTTAAGCTCTCTACTCCTTTGACCGAACCTTTAGAGGACCCTAACCAAATCACGAAGCCGCCACCTACACTGCCGCATATCGGACTATATCGGCACCGATCCATGCTCCGACCACCATTAACAACCACCAGGGACATCAAAAACCAACCCAATCGACCCAAACGCTCCACTTCCCTCTCTAAACCTCTTTCTAACACTAACAAAAACTTGAGACCCCTCCGGTGAACACCCTCGACGGTTGAGCAAACCCAAACGACCCTAAACTCAATCCCGGGCTCCTTACTCTGGTGACGAAACCATATCAAATGGTAAATCTAACTACCTATTTCTATTTTTTCTTTTCTGTTTTTTATGAACCTAAACCCGATTACTTACCTTCCACATTCCGACAAAGACACCATTCTAACTTCGACGATGGAACCCGAACGGTGACGAGATGAAGTCGACAAGGCTCCACCGACGTTTGCACAACCCAAGTAATTCAACCCCAAATCCCTTTTCTTTTTTAGTTTCAAAATAATAATAGCACACACAAAAAAAAAAAATTGGACAAAAAAAGAAACCGAAGAAGAATATCTCAAAAAAATGTGTAGTGCTATGCTTTCTGTGTTTTTGAATTATGAGATTACACTCTCGTTTTTCTTTTGTATCGATTTACTCTTTCTAATGTTTTTTTTTCTACTGCTTTGTGTTACTGAAAAAAAGGAGAATCCTTGTGTAGCTAAAAACTGCTCTCAAATCTATTCTCTTTGTTTACATGAATCTTTATTTCGAAAAGGAAGCCCCTTACAAAATCCCCTTTTGGGCCCCTTTATACTTTGTTTTTTACCCGAGAGCGAGAAATCAAATTTGTTACATTTTTTCTCTTTCCTTTCCTCTTTCTGGTTTTCCTCTTTACATGATTGATTCCGTGAGCTGGAGGTTTGTTGGTGTCAGTTTGTTACCATCTACTGCTGAGAGGATGAGCCCAATTGATAGTGCACAACTGGCGTGAAAGATAGGTGCCAGCTCGGGGAACTTCTGGAATGCTAGTGACGAGGCTTGGTTGTTGCTGGGATTGCTCACGTGGAAGATAGGGGTATCTCTACTAAGATTTCACAACCCTGATTTTGGGTTTGTTGTTAGGTTTAGTAATGGGTCCAAACCGGGTATGGGTCATTTTGTTTGGGACAAATGGATTGGGTTTAAATTTGAATTTGAACATTTATTTGAGTTTTAAAAATGGGGTGTTATGTATACATGGACATGGACAATACTTTAATGGTTAATTTTTGATGAGAATGGATAAACATGAATAGTCACTGGTCCAAATAATCCAATGCACAAACCTAAAATTGAATCTTCAAACTGATCCCAAATTTCTATTTGTATCATCAATGACCCTTATATTGGACTTATCGTCAATTTACGAGTGTCTTCAAATCGTCCTTCAATCATCTCAGGTTGAATTAAATGACCCAAACAAAATTAGGGTATAATAAATGTCTCGAAAAATATTTTAGTGTTTAAAAAATTTTTCGTTAAAAATATGTGTTTAAATACGGTCTGGGAATTGATGTTTCAACCTGTTTTTGACTGCTCACTGACTATCTTGTATGAACAACAAGGCAGTAAATGAGATATTCCAGTTTTATTTCGTTAAAATTAAGAATTAATATAAAAATAAATATTTAAATAATATTTTGAAAAATATTTTAGTGTTTAAAAAAATTTTCGTTAAAAATAAGTGTTTAAAGTTTTCTCTGTTATATTTTTACGTGTATACCGTTAAAAAATTTGTTAAGTGACATGTGTCACGTTCAGGTTTTTTAGCGAAAACTTTAGACACTTATTTTTAACGAAAAATTCTTTAGGTACAAAATGTTAATTTTGAGTATAGTTTACGCTCTTATTTTAACACTGACTTTAGTTCAAGTTTGAACTCGATCCTAATTTTTAATGAGTTTGAAATAAATTATTTGATATTTAAAACAAAAAATTTGAGATTAAATTTAAAAAATAATATATTAATTTGAATAAATAATTAATAGTATTAATATTTATATGTTATTGAAAAAACCTATGATAAGGTTTTTATGTACTTAAAATTTAAATTTGAATTCGAGTTTGAACTTGAATTGAGTTCGAATTCGAACTTCAATCAAGTTAAATCTTTAATTTTTTTTGAGGTTAATTCGAGATTTAATTTTTGATTTTAATTTAAATCAAACTTAATAATTTAAAGCTCATAAACTTTTAAATTGAGTATTGTTATACGGACTCCACTTGTTTACAGCCATAATGAACACTCACCAAAACCAATGGTACAACAGCATCTTGTTTTTTAAGATTGCAATTTACAAACACAACCTGCTAGCTTTCTTCAACAACAACTATAGTACAAGTACGAGGATTAGCGTTGTTGTCTTACAGTTTTTGTTGTTGTTGTTGTATATTAATGTTTTGAGTATGGGTTGCTGTAAACATCAACCTTTGACTGTGATGGGGATGTTTTTGAACCTCCTTTCCCGGTAACTATTGGAATCCAGTCTGTCTTGAACCAAAACAGTAAAGTATCGTAAAGTATTTGGTTTCCTTGGATTCTTTCTAGGTTCCGTTACGTGAAAACAATCGTGCACTTTCTTCAGCTATATGGTTCTGTTTCAATTTCAGATATCCATTCTTCTTCGTGTCTTTGTTACAGATTCGCATACTAATTACGACAGGACAACAGGTTGCGGAAAGGGAACCCATGCCCAAGGCTAACTTGATTGGTATACTGACTTCTCTAGCCATATTTCCACCCTCAGGTCTCAGGTAAGATACGAATTATAACTTACAAATCTAGAGCTGTTGTGCTTTATTAGAAGGATGTTTTTTATTAGTATATTGTGATTATAAGATAATATATATTTATAATCATTTTTAGTCATTAATAACATGCACATATCTTATAGATACAATTACTTGAACCTATAACTTCTATGAAAAACAACCATTTTTTAATCACGGAAGTGGTTTAATGAGTTTTGGATAAGTTATATATTATTAACTTAATCGTATACTGCATATATGTAATGTTGTAATGATGATATTGAACTGTACGGGTGTACTGTGAAGGCGGGTATAAATTCTTTATCTAACACCACTCAATGTCAACATGTGCACCACAATACCCTCACCTTCACCCATTCGACATTGTTATCCAACAATTTTCACCAATGGCCTACTATACTCTTTATCTAACACCACCTCCCCGACCATGGACAACACTTCTATAAAGTCGATGAACACTACCACAACCACTTCTACCACTCAACAAAATGTTGATAGAATGATCACCACATGGTATCTCGATTCTGGTGTCACTCACCATGTAAATAACCCAACAACCGTTTGATTTGTCACAAGGTTATGTTCATGTTCGTTTAATTTTTTAATATCATGTTTGTATTGGTTTATTTATTTATTAAGGTGTTTATGAACGTATTCGTTTAATGTTTGTGAACATATTCATTTTATGCTGCCATACTTCAAAGAATCTTTAGAAAAAAATTCTAATATTTTTTATATTAATCAACAAAATAAAAAAATCTAAATTAATTTGAACAAAAATAATTTAATCTTAAAATATAAAAATAATCTAAACTAATTTAAATAATAAAATAATTAAAAAAATTACCTTGTCATTATTCTTTAAGCTCAATCCTTTTTTTCTCTCCTCCTAGTGAATGAACTATATCAACTCCCTCTCACATATATTCTAAACCCTCCACCCCCTACCCACCACTAATTACTGCTGCACTCACCTTCATTATTGTTCAGCAATGATACATGAATTATTGACCTTTTGGGTCACCAGTAATACGTGAATGAATTTATGACTGCAGCTGTATGCATGGGATGAAGGAGTCACGGACGTGGGAGCTGAAGTGAAGAACTAATGAAATTTTGGAGTCTTCACCATTTGAAGTCTTTCCCGAACACAATTGTGGAACACCATGCGTCTTTTATTTTAACTGCAACAACCGCCATTGTCTGAGAAATAATACTCGGGATATGTGTATTTATAAAATTATATACAATATGTTATCTTTTCTTTATGATTTTCAATAATTTTATGATTCGTTTAGTTCTATGAAATATTTTCTGTTTTTATTTTTAGAAAATAATTTTCATTTTTAGTTTTTTGAAAATTAGAAAACTTGTTTGGTTAATATAAATGAAAACTTGAATTCAAAAAAATAGTGAAAATATTTTTGATATCTAATTTCTTAAATGAAGATGAATAAATATTTATTAAACAATTAAATTGAAATTTAATTTTTTAAAAAATATTACATAAATTTAACATGTGAGCTATGCAAATATAAAATAATAAAGTTGATAAGAAATTTCCTAACATAAAAATTATTTTAGTTTATAATAAGAATATAATGTTAATACATATTAGACATCAATTAAATTTAAGAAAATACATAAAAAATATTGTAATAAACAAGAGAACATAAAAGTTTCGTTAAAATAAAAATATATTTAGTGATATTTAAGGCCCTCAATTTTTTTTAAAAAAGATTTAGTGTACCCTTGAAACTTTTTTACATTCAACGCGACACTTAAAAAAAGAATCTATTTAAGCTTTTGACCTACATAATGAAACCATCACGATGCTTACATGACAACTCATAAAGGTTTCAAGGTAATTTAAAGTGTTAATGTGACAATTCACGATGTTGTGGCAATACACGATAGACAATGATATGATAGGTGAGTTTAATTGATTTTTTTACTAAGTTCGAGGGATTAATTAATTTTTTATAGAAAGTTTGAGAAATTTCTTAGAAGGATTTGAACTCACGTAACTTAAGTTAAAAATCTAGATCTCATGTTTTCCTATTTTTCAAGTTTTCAAAACAAATTTTAATGAAAATACTGAAAACATCTTCTTCTTATGTTTTCATATTTTCACTTTTTTTTCATTTTCAAATTTTATAATCAAAGACGTTTTGTTCAATATTTTTAATTTTCTAAAAATATACAAATGAAAATAACTTATATTTTTGAGAACCAAACTTATCCTTAATTTTTTTATTAATTTAAATTTTTAGTATAACTTTTTTTTATTATAAATTTTTGATATTTTAAAAGTTTATTTCAAATCGTAGTTAAAATTATTAAAAAGAATACTGAATTCGTATATTGAACGTTAAAAATAGGGTCCGAATTTAATATCCGAGTTAACATTGTTGGATTTTATTTTGATCTTCACTACTACGAAGTAGGTTTGTAGCGGCGTTTTTAGCAATGTATAGAGATAAAACGTCACTAACTTTAAACATATCTCAACCTTTAGATGCAAAACGCCACGAAACAGTATCATTGGCAGCTTTTTTTTTAAATGCCGTAATAGACTCAACGTTTGTGGCATTTTTTCAAACAAGCGCTGCAATAACATACAAATTTGGTGGCTTTTTTTAATAAACACCTTTAATTCAGTGCATTAATGGCGTTTGTGTTTAAAAACGTAGTAAGTTTAAAAAGTTTTTATCTCTCAAACCCTTCAGCCCGATCTGATCTTTTATTTTCTTTAACATTTTCTGCTCACCGCCGTTTGCAAAGACCCACGAAGCTGCTGTTGACTGGCACCGTTCTACGTTGTCGTGACCTTCACCGCCACGCCCATCACGATTTTGTCAATGTTCCAAGTATCACTGCTGCCGTTTGACGCCGCCGTGACCTCTCTATCGCCATCGAGGTAATTTTTATATTCTGAAATTTGAAGTTATCGTGTTTTCAAGCATTAATTGGATCGTTAATTTTCAGAAATTAGTTTTTTTTGTCAAGTTACCCTCTAACAGTTAGGCCGTATACAACATTCACGTCTTGATTTTGCGTTTAATGGCACTGGTAATTTTATGTTTTCTTGATCGGCACTGCCCTTAATAGTATTGTATCTGTTTAATGGAACTGCTTATTTTAGTGCAAATTTGTTATCTTGTCTTGTTAGAACAATTAGTTACTTCCTTGGAAGTTATCTCATTGTATTATGTTGGATTTTTTGGCTCCTCTGTTCATCTCCCTTGTTCTTTTCCTTTGCTTGGGGATTAGTCTGAATTACGTGCTTTGAATGACATTGTGTGACCTTATACCAGTTTTAGTCATTACGAATGCTAGTCCGATTTTCTTTTTTCGAGAGATAGATTGCATTAGTGCAACACTTGTGATGTTTCTCTGGAATTCGAATTGAAAATCATTAC